AAAAAAAATCTGCATCCTGGCATCAGGACGCATTGTCGCCAACGTGTTAATGTTCCAGACAGTGCGGAAGATGAGATAGTCTCATGTATGTGCTTTGCTTTCTGCTTATAGTTTCCTGAAAGTTAATGAGTAAATGAATAAAACAGAGGAAAAAAGCATGCGAAAATACACACTCAGTTATAAGTCAAATATATGGAATTAATGGGGAAAGTTGAAGGTACTCCCTGTGGCTGCCATTTCTAATGATTCACTGTTCAGAGATTCGGAATGATGTTTCTCGCGATTGGAAGACTGTTCATCCTGGTGATATCCAGTTCTTCCTTGGGGCAGACCCGTCAGACGATCACCTTGTACGCTGAACTTGATTGCAACGACAGAGGTAATCAACAAGAATTAAACGGTGCGTGCCCGGATCTGGATGTTTGCGGGGGACGTATTCCGGACAACACTGCCAAAAGCGCCAAACCCACTGGACCATGGATCCTTTACGATGAAGTGAGCTATGTGAACTCCATCACGCCATCCTTCCAATTCGGTTTTGAAAGGTGGGAAAACGTGATTTATTGAATGACTCCAGCGTATAATCTGCGTTACGCTGGTGCACCCATCCTGGAGGATGATGCCATCAGCATATACGAAGAAGTCAATTTCCAGTTGGCAGAGTATTTTTTGTGACCGACAAGGACGATTTCGACTCTCCCGCCTCGTCAGTCATGATCACCGGATTACCGGTTCCTCTCCGTGGTCATTGTATGAACTCCGAAACTACACGGGAGAGTTTTTCTGCTAGGAGCTCAACCCTGACCCTCCCTACAACGGTTTCATTGGATTTTCTGCTGATTTCCACAGCGAATACGGATTTGACATGATTCGATCCTTCCGGAAAGGAGATTCCCTTTCATCCAACAGTCTCTCAATTAAAAGAAGACTGTGACTGTTCCAATAAAATGGGATTATGGATCGTCGAGAATGATGGTGGAGCGATTTGAATTTCATTTTGGTTTCGTAATTACCCTGAAGATTCCAGACAGTGTACCGGTACGCTTGCTGATGCAAATCGATTACATATACAGGGTGTATCATATGTGAGTAATCATTGAGTTCTATAGTCTAGCCTATGACCTGGAAAGGCATGGTTTAGCGCTTAAGCTAACGCGCAAGAACTACAAGCCTATGCCTCTCTAGGCTATAGAATCCTATGATTCCTGACATAGCAATCACCCAATAGTGTATCCTATCATGAATTTCGAGTTTAACACCAATTTCTTTCTAATCTCTCTGTTAGGGTTGGTGTCAGCGGGGATCCTCACGCCAACGAGGAGTTAACACCATCGTCATACGAGAATTACTTATACACAAACATCTGGAAGTACACTGATGAAAGAAGTACATGGAAGTACTGATATTGGAAGAAATATCTGTCGGTGATTCCTTCAAAGTAATCATTGCCGTGGAGACGCATGCTAACTTGAGGAGGGAATAGAGCATTTTCTTCAGTTTTACGAGTCTTATGCAGGATCTCCAACTGTAAGCACTCCCTGTTAAGCATTCACTGAGGATGACTGGCAATCACGGCGATTCATTGGCCATCACTCTTCTCTTGCGGAAACCCTGTTTTTTTTTTTCGAGCGTATGCCGGATGGCAAGGCTCAACCATATAATAGACTAATCCTTCGCCTAGTAAGCTTGACCTGCTGCACTGAGTAGATTTAGTCCATATATATTTTTTACGAAAGTTGCTCGAAAAGTGACTTTAGAAAGACTACCAACAAAAATATTAAGTTAATGAAAGCATAAACTACAAGGTCGCTTAAGCCTCAAGCTTCGGTATTTTTCATCTTCACATTTTTCACAGCCTCAGCAAGGCTGTCGAGCCTTGCTGAGGCTTTTCTCACATCTTGTAATCAGCTTGTCGATTCCCTCCTGAGAAATTCTAGACTTGGAATTTTTATCCACGGCCGAACAGACATTTTCACATCATCTTCGTTATAGAAATGTTTCCAGGTGGTTCATTAGGATTCTGGTAAAAGGTGTTGGCGCACTTTCACCTGTCGCCTTCCCACTAAGAGCTCCGTCGAACTCCATATGGGGTCGAGAGACCTTTTATCGAGAGTCCGAGACTTCCTCCTCGGATGGTCCTCGGAGCGTCGTTAGCGTTGCCAAGGAGGCGTCTATGTTGACAGTTGAACCATGGTCTAACAAGTCGATGAGCAATGGGACTTCCCCAGCTGAAGGAGTCCCTTTCAAGTTTTGACTACCGGCGACGAGACATGCTTCATCATGACATTCAAACTTTTGGCCTCTTGAGTGCAGTGGTGGACGGAGACATCGTCGTCTGTGACAATGTTTTAATATAATGCTGAAAGCTCAATATCATAGCGATACAAGTTGAGGAGACAGCATGCCATGTGGGTGCCCATATGGATCTTGGTTAGTTGGGCACTCGTTGGGCTGAGAATTATATGTCCTGACACGTCCAATAACTGCAAAGATTTCCTGATGAATTTATTCTGCTGGATAAATTTTCGCCACAAAAAACGGATTACGCTCCGTATCTTAATGCAAGACCAGATTTCAAGTTGGTTTGACATTTTGATGGTCAGCAACTCACGAAATGAACAGTAGCGTTAACTTGACCTCTTGATACCAGTGACATCTCCATGCCGTTTATCGAATCCAAAACCCTTGCCAAAATGGTAAAGTAAATCTTCGTTTGAACCCCTGTAAAGTTAATTTGCGAGCAACCCTCGTATTTACCTGGTCAATGTCCATCTAATGGTATCCGTGGCCACGGATATCCTGTGACTATCTTCAAATGTAGTACGTTTTGAGCAACGTCCGGTAAAGCGACGCAATTGGCTCATATTTTTGTATTTGACATTAAATTGACATTATTTCCATATTGTTTTGCTTATGTATTTGAGAACTTGTATTGATACCCTGTGGTCAACAGGTTGCAGCGATCCAACTACACACATCACAAGGTTCTAGCTCTGGAGAATGGTGATTGGGTTGCAATGGTGGTAGATGGGATGGACCAGAAGAAAACAAATGTTCCACGGTTCGCCCAAGAAGACAAGCATACGAATAGCTTGCCAAAGCTTGTCACTCATATTGAAGGTGATTCTATCATTCCATATATTTTTGAATTTAATGTTTTCAAGTTAACACTTGATATAACTGACAGCCGCTCAAAATTATATATTGACACACACAGTTCAATTCTATAAGTTGAATGAAGTGATACTGGTTTTGTGTGAAAATTGCCATTTTGTAGATGCCCTTTCATTCTAACCTTTGTAGGAGTGATGGTATACACGGACAAGGGGATCCTCGAGTTCGCATATGTTGACATGGGTCAATACCCCCACGATTCCAATTTGACAATCGAGGTCATTCTTCGTACTCTACTTCATGTGAAGGAGTATTTGAAGCCCAAACTCTTCCTGCAGATGGACAATTGTACCAGGGAGAACAAGAACAAATACCTCTGCGCACTGGCTCATCTACTCGTAGAGGAAGGAATATTTGAAGAGGTGAATGACACTCTTAGGGATCCTTGAAATTATCGNGACTGATTTTAGTTTTATAACTTCAAGCGGTTCCTAATATGAAATGTCACTTTTGCAGGAGTATAGTTGTAGAAGCCTTTCTCAGGCTTGGAGTTGCTCATGAAATTATTAACTAGGAACGTGTGGAATGCCTTTCCCCCTTTTCACTTCTTGATTCATTTCCACCTCCCAGACGACTCCACCACTCAATGCATTCGGTGTTCTGGTGCCTCCTGATTGGAATGCAGCTGGACTAGAGGTGGTGAGGGCATCCATCCAAAATTACTTCCCAGAAATGTCTGAAGACAAAGTCCACGCTTGGCATGTGTTTTCTCCAGACACCCAGCAATCCATGGTAATGGCGGTTGTATGCAGTCTCAAATATGTTTTATTAGCAAGTAACTTATGGAATTAAACTACCAGATATGCATTGGTCTATCCCCAGGAACCAGTATTGTACCTTCTAAAGCTGAGAGACTACAAGAACACTTCAACTGAACAACCTGCCGGCACAACTCCAACCATGCAATCCTGCCTGGCGAACATGAAAAGTCAGATGCTCGGACCATTGCAACAGGTGAGAATATTTTTCTTAACGTTAGAGGTATCCACATTGCACTTGAACGTTTTCAAATAGTCGATCATTTTGCAAAGCTGAACTCCAGACTTAATTTCCTGTATGCACTCCACAGCCCATCATCGGTTCCATTGGCAGTCGGAGACTGGGCATATGTGCTGGGACCAACGACCTTCATCCGGGGAGGTTGGCCGTCGTCTATACAGAGGAGAAAACGTCACGGCCATGGATGGGAAAGATAACCTCCGTAGAAGAGAAAGAAGTGACTATCCACTGGTACCAGGGGACTTATGAGAAATCTTGGAACCCAATGACTGGAGTTGAAAGCCTTTCAACCGTTCCCCGAGAATCACTCCTCTTATGGGGATTCACTCTAACAGACAAGAGGCAGCTGCTGAGGAGCGAAACGAGGGAAGAATTAAAGCGGCTTTATCAAGAGACTGACCAAATAATGCAACGTGAACCAGAGACTTCAGAAAAAAAACTATGTACGTGCTTTTTTTTATTAATGTAACCTTATATACAGGTCCAGCCCAACCATTCAACAGAATGTTCATTTCAATATTGATTTATCTCGAATCAAAATATCATGAATGGTGTTTGTTCACTTGGAAAATACCATTCCTGATATTTCATGCAGCTCATTGCAATTATCTTAAATGAATTCTCTTCATCCTGCAGGAATGATTGACGACAAGCTTGGAGACGTCGGATGTAGCCAGCAAAGAGCACCTGACTAGGACATATCAACCATCAGCGTAGCCGGAATATGATTCAATCCTGATGGTCAAGGCGGCTTCAGAATACAAGATATGTTGCTTAGATTGAAGCTTTTAATCTTTTCTTTCTTCCTGTAAGCGCAGGAGAGGGGAATGTTAGCTCTACAAAATGGGGTTGAAAAAACTGAATGTTGCACCAATCCAGAAGCGAAAAGTTTCTTCTCCTAAACTTTTGTTCTAAAGAGGACCATTTTTCTACGCTTGATGTATTACAATTTCGTAAACCTTTGTTCATTTACCAGCATGTCAATTTTTTGCGATTTGCTTATTAGGATAATGAAAATATGGAAAATAAGAACATATGAAAATATGAAATTGAGCTATGCTAAACCTATCCCAACCTGATTTTTATGCGAATGAATTATTGAGGTTCTAACTTCTTTCACTTTTGTGCAGGGTCTCCAGGCCCTTTGGAAAAGTGCTGAAGTCGGGAAGGAAGATGGCGGCGGGATCTTACGAAGCCGATCGTCCAATGGATGAAGATTGGGCTCCCCTCATCCTTCGATTCTGTGCAAAAGGTGTTTTAGTCAAATGAGTGGGGGATTTCCTGTTTTTTTTTGTGCAACCCTTATCTTGTAAAGGCATATGTTCAATAAAATCCTTGTCTTGGAAGAAGGGCGAATGTTATATTCGCTGGTTGATCCTTGCATTATACACGTATTTCATTGTGAGACTGATATTTTTCCCAATCAAATTTTATCATTCAATGTGTTGGGTAACATACGACAATAAAGGCTTTGAAGTGTGTCATTCAAATTGTGCAGTCATTCCGTGTTTCCCCGCATAGGATGAGACTTGAGCCACTGGGCTCCACAGGGAGAAGTAAGAGAAATTGAATTTGCAAATACACTTGCGCGTCCTCGATGCGCATTGCTCTTCTGAGGATGGGAAATGAGCCAAATGGCTAGTTTCCCATGGAGTGCGTAAGCATGCGCACGGTGTTCAACCTACAGGCTGGGAATGCGGCCAAACGGCTGAAACCCCATCGTGTGAACACAGGTCATGCTTCTCGCTCCTCGACCTTCACGTTCTGAGCCGTGCGTCGCACATCCTGGAAGGTTTGGGTCAGGCATGTCAATCCTTAATATCCAAACGAATTAAAATTAAGTTATCTATAATAAAGGCCTGATGGAACGAGAATGACCCAAATTCTAGTCCCACACGATGTTCGTGAATTCCCCGACGATTTGGCAGCTCGATGGTTTCTGGGATATATGCCACAGGAGTAAATTCACTTTTGACTGTGACACCGCTCATTGGTATAAGTCGGACAAATGTGCAGCCCTCTTGTGACCAATTCTTTAATTGAACAAGCAAACTTTAATTGAATCTTGTTATAGCCGACTTTTGCCTTCAATTCCAACATCAAACTTCTCGCGAAAATACAGGTAACACATTTTCTCTCGTGAGAAGGATGGATCCTCGGATACTTAGGACTCAGCATTGAAAATTTCCAACGCTTTATATGCAGCTATTTCGGTTCTAGAGCAACAATCGACACACTTCTATTACTTTAATTCGAAGAGGTCAAAAGTTGTGGCGGCTGTCACCCCCAACGCGCAGGCCTACGATGCTCTACCATTCTGGGTCATAGCTCTGGGCTTACTAGAAAGTTTTGTCTGGCCTATACCCGAGAGTGGCGGCGGTGGTTGTCACGACAACGCGCGGGGCCTTCGAGACTATGTCACTTCTGGCCATAGGCTAGACCATCCACCCTTCAAATAGCCACATCCATAGGGCTATACCTTCCACCGCTCAAAGCGCCAGGTCCACGAGGCTATGCTATTCTATGTCATACGCTTGGCCATCCAACGTTTTTAGCGCCAGGTCCGTCGGGCTATATCAGCATCGCTTCCATGCAATAGTTTTCTGTTTGAGTTTCATGTCATGACAGGTTTATTTGAGTTCTCTCGATTGACTAAGTCAACATAATCACGCAAGTTCTTTGTTTCATATGTCGCGAGAGCGGCCCGCTCATACCATCAAAATGGTGGCGATTTTAGTGAGGTGATGTTGAACGCCAAGAAAAAATGTTGGAGGTCCAAAGGACGGCGATGAGGCAGCCGCTGCAGGTAAAAAACGATTGGTGCTGGCGCGGAAACAACATTTGCCACTGCAGTTGCGATGCGAAGTGCCTAAATCGGTGCTTTAGGAGATGCCAGCCGAAATGGCTAGAATGAACAGCACGCAGCTGTACGTAGGGAACGTAGGGCCGCTCAGACCGTTGAACAGCAAGGGGCAGCGAATGCTGAGCTCAGGAATAGGAGAGCCATGAAGCCTGCTGAGCAACTTGAAGCAAGGAATGCAGCATTCAGGTGTCGAAAGCCGTGGTGCGGCCGGGAATTGAACCCGGACCTCCTGCTTGCCGGTCAGGTGTGTTACACCTTACACCAAGGAACTCGGGACATTTTTCATGTCCTCTCCATGTCATCTCAATAATTACAGTCGTTTGCCGCAGCGAACACTGTCAGGCTGTACATTTTCCTGTATGGAGGGGGCATTTGTTTCATATTGCTGCCACAACGGAAAAGTGCTCCTGCTGCTACTCGCACTTTTTCAGAGCCTCAGGATAGTGTTGCTCACGGGTGCTAATGTGTCGGCGAGGCATTTTCTGGAATTATTCGTATTATACCGCACATGCGCTAACTTCCTTCTGTGCTAAAGTCGAACAAGTTCTTGGAAATGGCTCTTACTCTTTCAAAATCAGTGGTATCTGTACCTTAAGCTAATACTAACAGCCCGTGAGCTGATCGGTGATGCAAGAGTATTGAATGTGCTGGGACAATGAAATCAACAACGTCGTCTTAAGCCTCATGAAAACCTGCTAAACCTAGGCATTCACAATGGCGATTGTGGCAATGCGCTCGAATGTTATGATGAAGGTGTTTAGGAACAAATTCTCCACTTATACTGTAAACTTGATCTTGTGATCTTGAGTGATCTTGAATGGATCTCCAGAAGATCTTTGACGGGGGGAAGGAAGTCGACTATCTCGAAGGGAATAAGCTTCTCAACAATGAAAAATTTATATATTGAAGGGAGGTGAGACATATGCAACAGAGATGTTCTAACACGACCACGGAGGGTGCTAAAAGCAAGAGGAGCATTCTCACCTGAGTTTTAAGGTGATAACGCTCAACCCTATGGTGGCTGTCAGTGATGAAGCATGCGCATAATTACTATGGGTTATGGATTTCACATTTAGTACAAAATATGTATATAGTCATCGTTTAATTCGATCCGTCGAATTCCGGCTTCTCACCGCCGGATGCCAACATGACTGCATAAAAAATTTAAAGTCGGCTGTTTAGATCAGCCAGCCCTATGCCACTTCTTTGCTTTGCGTCGTCGCCTGCACAACACCAAGATTTACCTGGCAGTTTCTAGTGCCGTTCGTCCTGTCTGGATTCCAACCCATTCATGCTCATTTTGACCCTAGGATGACTTATCAAAATCATGACAATCCAGGAAGGCGACCGGTGAAAAGAACTTTCTAAAAATAAGTTAGAGCCTCCGCGACGAGGCTCTAACCGATTTATGCGAGGCTAATCCCACGTCAAGGAGATTTGACTAATTGAATCATTCGTCATAGGTGCTTCCTGTGGCCCAGTTTGGCTAAAAGGGACGCCATGAATGTAATCATGTATATAGACATGTCAAATATATGCAGTTCGTGAGGTATACTGCATCGCGATGAAGGTAGTGCCAATCAGTCAAAAGAGAAAATTCCATATCATAATCAGACTTGGGAATAACAATTTCTCTCCTACAAAGAAAAATGCATTCCTGGTTGTTATGCGTAAACAGACCTGTTGCCAGGCAGAACCGTGCAAGGTATCATCCATCAAATGCTCAAACATGGGGTTCTCTCAGGTTTTTCAGTTTCGGATGGATTAACTGTCATGGTTCAATTGATTAATGGGCGTCTCGAACTACATCTTCCTGCTCTTGCTTTCGATTGCGGCCTGTAACTTACAGAAAATGGAAAAGTAAAAGCGAAAATCTATAGCTTTATCCACGAGTGAGAGGTTCTTCTGGAAATAATTCTTCCCGAGATGGAATGAGTAAAATGTGTGGTGCATAATTTTATTTCGCACCAAAATTTCCCTTGCAAATTTCGTGCATTCTGCATGAGCAAAAATTATGCTCCATTAAATTACACGCAGGGGTGACGTGATGAGACGATTTGCGTTTGAGTGGGATCATCGTTGGCGTCTAAAGTCTTTACATAACTTCAAAAAGTGAAAGTATGTGCTCAAAAAGGATTTTTGCTATTACTACCCATCTGGCCTTGCCCGACATGCTTGCAAGTCTTCCGACTTCACAACGATCATGGCGGAAATAAATAATTTTGAGCGAGAGATATACTATCAATAATACTATTCCGACAGCATGCCAAATTTGAAAAAGGAAAGAAATTGAAAATTTGTTTTCACATTTCTTCTTATTTTCTGTGTAAGGAAGGAGAAAAGATCGTGAACATCCTTGGCCAGCTTCAAGCAGTGAGTGCGTTGGCTGCAAATTGAAAACCTTCTGACTAGGACTCGGTGCTTTCTTTTAAAGGTGGTCGTGAAAAGACTGAAGATGCGTCACGATCTGATACACCAAGTACTTCAACGATGAAAAATATTGCAGCGTTCGAACGATTGGTCACAAACGACAAGCGAATCACGCACCAGGAGCTTGCTCTCGCAGTTGGAGTCTCAGCTAATTCCATCAATATCATGACGATATTTTCTAGTCGGCAGTCAGATTCAATAGGTGTAACCTGGAGCCCTAAGCTGACATACGTCTCAATAGCTTCACGGGATAAATGACTGACTTGGTTCTGTTCATAAAAACTCAGTCACGAAGGACTCTTCTCTCGTAGTCACTTCCATTTCTTATTCGATATTTTCAGCCACCGCCCTTGTTTTAAAGTGCATTGACACATGTCACTTATGGATATGTCGCATTTATTTTTCCTTTCAGGAGCAGCTGTTAATGATACAGTGTATCCATTCAATTCATTCGGTTGAGTATGGAATTAGATTATAGAAAACTCACCAATGGGAAATGTTTGTTATTGTATTTCCAATTGCAAGTCATACTCAGTATGTGGATTGTGTCCTAATTCGTCCTTACCTTAAAGACATGCCACTAACACATTTCACATAGGCTTATTTCTTACGTCAGAGGGTACTCTTCAGTTCTCGGAGCACAATGATGCTTAACCACAAAAGACTGGTGCTAATCGAGATTAGCTGCAAACCTTTAAATCAGTTACTGAAATGACCCACATTGGAATATATTGTTCACTCATGGATCTCTCGGCAGACAAACTTTTTCTTATATATTTGTTGTTTTCTTAACACATTGTGTACCGGACACTTTACCCCGTCGATCCACCGCTTTGACCTAAGCCTCAGTTATCTTAGCCTAAAGCTCGATGCCTACATGGATATTACTCTTTCGACCAAAGGCTAGGTAGAAGGACTCGCGAAAGGACTCAAATACGGAGATATCCGTGATCGCTATGCAAAGTGTTAAAGTAGG